AAAATAAATATTTTATAAATATAGTATAATTTTACCATAAGATTCAAATGAACACCCGACACCTAATCCGCCTGTGGCGTCGTATATAAATATATATTGGAACAGAGGAAGCACTAACATGGGTGTGCACTGGTGGGAGTGCTTCGTCCTTAACTAGAAGTCTCGGGTTCGAGCCCTGGGTATGAAAAAAATTATGTTGGGAGTGCCACCCCTGAATGGGCCCTAGAGTGCGCGATTCAAATTTATTTGGAGCTTTAATGTGAACTCCGAACACCGAACGGAAAACCAAAGAATAAAAATGATTTTACCTACATAGAAAAGACATGTTGCATAATGTTTTTCATGTTTGACTTTAATATATGTTCTTTGCTTCACTTGCAAGAAAATTTACCTAGCGACGTCACTTCATGCAAATAGTTTACTATTACCCTAGAATATCATTTGCATAAATAGTGATTACTAGAAGCCAATTCGTGACTAACCTCTTTCATTCTGCTTACTCTTTTTCCACCTCCCTTCTATTCGGCTTAAAATATACTTTTATGGGAAAATTGTGCAATATAGCAAATTATTAATTCAAAATACATGTTATAGCTACAGTTTCATTTAATTCTAATTCACAGTAAACACATTGTCATTCACCTCTCTCCCCTGAATCTCCATGGCCACTCTCAGTTCTCTCCCTCGCCTCTCTCACTTTATACAAACACAAATGTATAAATTGTGTTTGTGTTTGTATAAAGCGAGAGAGACTGTATATACAAATACAAATACAAAATACATATATCTCCCTCTTATACACTTATAATTATACTAATACAAATATTCTCCTGCCCAGTTCTCTTTTGTCTTTCTCTCTCGCTTTATACAAACAAAAATTATACAAATGCAATATATAATTTGTGTTTCCGTAAAGCGAGAGAGAGATTTGATATACACATACAAATATTTTAATTCGATTCAATTGTATGCAAATTCAAATTTTATGCAAATATACAAACACAATCATTGATACATATACATAGTAGTTACATATATACAATTATCTAACTGATATACATATACAATTCACCTCTCTCTACTCTCTGTCATGTCGCTCGCCTCTCTCCTCTCTCTCCTAATCTCGCTCGCCTCTGTAGCCTAACATAAATAACATATACGTATACAAACGCAATTTTCATAGACACAGACGCCTGATTTATACAAATCAGATGCTCCGTAGCAAACTATATAGAGTGCAAATATGATTTTTATGTTTGTTATTCCAAAAAGGCAAAAGGGTCTCATGAACCCTTGTACATGTATGAATTTGTATTGTGGACCCTTCTACTTAACATTTTATCAACTGAACCCCTAAACTAAATAAAACACAATAAATTAAACCCCTCTGACCATTGACCATGCTTATGTGGCATTAAAATAGCTGAGTTGGCGAGAGAGTGTGACTACACGCATTTAAGGCGAGTGAACATCATATTTTAAACTTTAAATTTTAAATTATTAAAATTCTATAATAAAAAAATTACCCTTCTACTTAACATTTTATCAACTGAACCCCTAAACTAAATAAAACACAATAAATTAAACCCCTCTGACCATTGACCATGCTTATGTGGCATTAAAATAGCTGAGTTGGCGAGAGAGTGTGACTACACGCATTTAAGGCGAGTGAACATCATATTTTAAACTTTAAATTTTAAATTATTAAAATTATATAATAAAAAAATTAAAAAAGAAAAGAACAGAAACATCTTCTTCCCCACACCACTTTTTCAGCCACCCCTTCCCCATTGTTGCCCAAACCTCTTTTTTTTTTCTCCACACCATGTTATCTTCTTTAGCCCCTCAGCATTTAGAACAGTCGAAGAAATCCTTCCATTTCCGCGTTCGCGTAACTATGGCGAAGAACAGAAACAAGAAGAGAAATGGCCTAGCTGCCATGGATGTCTCCACTGACCAAACGGTTATGGATGCCCAGGCCATGGATACTTCAGAATCAGTAGCTCCCGCAATGCTGTGAGAGGGAGAGAGGCGACTCTGGTCCCTTTTTCGCTAGAATGAGAGCGATGTTGGTCCTTTTTCCCGCCAGAATGGGAGGCGGCGGCCGGCGAGGGAGTTTGCAGGTACGCCGGAGAGGATGGAGAAGGGAGTTTGCAGGTCCCCATCTTCAATCTTTCACATCAATCGTCTCCTTCTAATCCTTTAAACTTGTCTTTTTCAACCCATTTCGATAACCCAAGAAAAATCTCAGGCGAATTTTGGGTAGATTTCGACGAGTTTCATGGCAGAGGTTAGTGTGAAATTGTATTTGTAAGCAATTTGGGGTGTGAAAATAGTAGTCAGTGTTGGATTGCGAAAAGTTTGGCCAGATCTGGTTGTTAGGTGGCTTAGGTTGTTGTTACTGTGGAGGGTGGGGGGGGAAAGAAAAATAGTGATGGTGTGCGGTGGAGATGAAGACGGTTGAGGGAGAAAGTATATGTGATTTCGCCGGCAAAAATGGCGATAACGCCGGCGATGGCTGGAGGGGCTTAAAAGTCTCATTTTAATTGAGTTTAAGGGTCCAGATGACAAAGGGGTAAATAGAAGGGTTTAGAATACAAACTGATACAAGTATAAGGGTCCACCAGACCATTTCGCCTTCCAAAAATTTACTCTACTTTTATTGGCATCTATTCTAACACTTAGATAGGAGAACTTTTACCACTCAATTTTTAAAATTGGCTATGCGAAAATTAATAAAACATAATCTAACATCTTATTTAATCATAGAAAATACTCTTAACTTGATTTATAACAAAATCATGTGGAACGAAACAAACTAAACACTCCTCAAGGAACTAGTTTAAACAGGTACACGAGCTTCTACAAAGTACAACTTATGAAAGAATAAGACACAACTCTCACCAAAAGAAAAGAGAAATAAAAGTTATCAGAGATCACATTGTCTTCACCTACATATGTAACATCACTGAATTCTGCAACCAGACTATGCCAACTGGCATAACAAGAATAGTATCAGTACAAACAACATGACTGGTAGGTATCATCAGTTGATCCGAACCCACCACGTAATATCGTGAAAATAATCAAAGAAACATGTAACTTGAAAATAAAATTAAGGCCCCAATCCACCCATTCACCACTCTCGCTACAAGCATTACCGTATAATTCATACACTCTATCTGAAGTCACCTTACCTCCTTCCGCTGCTAACTCCCCCATCGAGGTCATTCCACCCTCATATAGATCATGATCTAACCCTTCTATAACATAGAGTTTTCCCCAAGACATGGCCATTACTATCTCTGTTACTTAGCTTACTATTTTTCTCTCAAGCTCTCATGACGACATTTTGCCTAAACAACGCTTCAGTTATACAAATATGAGCAGGCAACACAATTTAATTAAGCAGTATATATGCCATTTTAATCACAACTATAACATAGCTCGTACTTATCATTCAAAAATAACATGATTACAATACGACACCCTAATGCATCACCCTTTTAATCTTAATTCGGACCTTCAGGGATCCCTAATCATCATCTACAATGTTTAACATGCAATTTCGATCTACACAAGAACCTTTTCAGCATTCGAACACAATCCTGGCCACTCATAGATCAACATGTAACATATATAACACAATTAATCTACCCGGTCCACTCATGGAACCCCCCCCCCCCCCCCC